GTTTGCGGTGCGTTATATTGCCCACTCAAGTGACAGCGACAGCTTTGCTGTAAATGACAGAAACAGGAATAACAAGTTTATAAAAGAAAGTTGTTTCAACAACACAACCGACTTCTGAGTCATGAGAAAGTAGTTTCACTTGGGATTTAAACAGCAAGTCAGCTGTATGACTTTGATTTATGAGCTTATTTTGAACCCATCTTAACACTAAATAGTCAAATTTTTATATTCAAATATTTGTGAGATTTGTAGTTTTTGTCCTTTACTATTTCAATCATGTGGTAAATATTGTATGGGTAGATTCATATTACAGTTTGATCTGTTGAATCAGACCTCCCAACTTTCAGTAAAGTATTTTCATTCAGTATCCATAGAGACGATTAAATGCTGGAGACATTTGCTACTGCTTGCAAAATTTCTGTCCTCGGTTCCTTGTTGCTACTTGTTGAATTGGTTTTTCTTTATCGCTGTTCATGGCATAAATTGCTTTCCCTGAGATTTGATGCTCTATTTAATATGAAAAAATGCCAGATTTTTGTGAAGCATTTTATTTCTTATGTAACACAGAGTGGTATTTATAATTATCTCTCTGCTATTTTCACCTGCAATTCACTAACTTTTGTAATTATCTACTTTCTGTCGAAAGTACGCTTGGCTCAGCGGTTCTGAAATCTGAACAAGATGACATCTTTTTTCCTCTATGAATGTAGAGCTTGTGTCAAACTCATGGCCCAGGAGCCAAATGTGGCCCGCCGTAGCTTTTTTTGTGGCCCTCTTAACTCCAAATTACATCAATTATTCCCTCCAGTTTTTCACAAATCTGCAAAATTCATACAAAATTGACAGATCCCCACATTTCTCTGATTTTACTGAAATTTTTTCTCAAAATTGGCCAAAAACATTCAGTTTAAGTGGCCGCTGCTTCAGCCTTACTTGATGTCAATGTGACCAATAAAGTGATTAATTAAAAGTCACATTTAACATCACACTTCAGCGCAAATATAAAATTTCCTTGCCAATATTTCTAGATCAGCACCACAAAATCACAAAAAAAATCACAAAATCCTAGATGAACTGATCAGTGTAAAAGGATATTCAATATAACACTTATTGAATGCTGAAACAAACGGCTATTTATTGATATTTTAACAATTTAATGGTTTTATCAATACATTCGGGCACAACCAGCCCTTTAAGAACATTCAGATTTTTGATACATCCCAAAATGAAAACAGGTTTGACACCCCTGATGTTGAGGAAGACTAACATCCAGTGTAAGCAACACGTTGTTTACACTGGATGTGGTAGAACAATTAAATTAACAAAATTAAACCTGGAGATATTAATTCACAGCAGTGCTCCACAGCAAAGGAAAAAATAATGCAGAAAAACAATTCAAAACCGTTCGTATTCATATTTTTTCCTTGCTCTGAGTCAACTAAGCTACCCACAGACCCGTTGCCATAGCAACTGACTGACAACAGCTTCACTAATGCATCAGGATTCAGCACCAAAAAACAGCCCCAACATTTCACACACAAAGAAAAGAACGTCTCTAACAGCTTCATGTTTTCAAGCCTGTTTATTTTGCCATTATTAATTGGTAAGCTAGCAAAGAGGTTAGCTTAATAATTAAGCTAGCTACAGCTGAACTTGACAGCTGTTGCTAGCTCGATTAGCTACAGCAGCTATTGGCTAATCTAACAGCACTGGTTTGATTAGCTAATTTAAACACCTGCTCTACTGATGACATGTCACAGTTGGTAACCTTGTTTTTCCATTTCTAACTGCAACACAGCGAATTGAGCAGCTCAAATGCACGTTAAGGTTGTCAAAGTTGAGCTATTACAGCTGACCTCATCACCATGGCAACGTGAACTCACAGCTGACAGACATTTGATAATCAGCAGCTTCTTTCATCTCCGTCCCACTTAGAAACACTTTGATAAATCCAGCCTCAAGTTTTCAGCAGTTGTTGAAGTGATGGACAGCGCGGGCAATTTCACCTCAGAGTTTGGGGGGATAAAAAGGTGTAATCAATCTCAATTAGCTATCGGCGGCTTCAACGAGGATTGTAAAAGTAGCTGTAGCTGCTTTGGTATTGAGTTTGATGCGTCGCCATGAATCCTGCTGTATTTTCACCGACTCTCACCTGCGAAGCTGTCATTCTGAAAATCAATGTCTTGTGTTCCCAAAACTTAAATAAACAATGAAATATCTAAAGTACAATTTCTTCCAAGTTACCAAAGGCTAGAATTATGTTGTTTTTTTGGGAATAAAAGTTCACTATTGTCAGTCTGAGTGACGTTGTTTGTTTAAAGAGCGTCTCTGTCTTCCTGGTAGATGAATGTGATTTACAGGGATGCTTCCCCCTGCGGTTTGTTTCATGTGACAGATGTTCTCGGTTTCATATGTGCTAATGGTTTTAGCTGCTGTTCATGACACATACATCAAAGCTGGTTAATTGGATGTTTGTTTGTTTCGTGTTAAGATTGAACGTCGGTTTGTCCGTGTTGGTGTTCCCACTTTGCTTTCAGTGGTATGACTTCTTTTTACAGGCTGAATGTATTTACATTTTAAGATTTTCTGTGTTGTTACTTTCATACGGGATTCTGATGTTACTAAAAAAGTCTAAATTCAAGAAAGCATAAACCAAGAAAAACAAATTAAGCTTTGGCCACATGACTTTCTAACCAGTGTTTTTATACATGTTTTCAATGAAATTAGCAAAAGAGGGTAAAAAAAACAAAACAATGTTAGCAATTCTTCTTGGCAATAAATCTTAAACCATTGGAAAAAACTTCCTTATTTCCCTTCAAATTTCTGAGTATGTTGATTGCAGCCATGAAAAATCTACCAGATTTTCTCTCCTGACGCCAAACAGCTGGGCGACACGTTGCTCACTGGAACAAAGCGAGTCTTGATATCAATGGACCCAACCTGAACACAGAGAAATGTTGAGATGGGATTCTGTAACCAGTCACTAATACTGGTGGGAGAACAGGATGCCGTCCCACCATGCGGGTCACCAAACTGGTAACCAGGAAGAGGAGAAGGTGGTGCCAGACTGTTCACTTAATGAATAAGTCTGTTATAAAAACACATTAATCAATTAATGACATAATAAATTAAAATGTCTGATTTCATGGGAAACTTAGTTTACAGATGCATCATAATCCGTTATTTTGTTGTTTTCAGTTGAAAGTGGTTTTTATTCATCTTTTCTCGGTTGCTTCTTTGTAAAATCTCTTCCAGTTACGAAGTTAAAGTTTACTGGTCATTGTCAGGGCGACCTTACATTATCAACATATTACTTTAAAATGCTCTCCAAACAACAATATTATCGTAGTCAACAAATGTTTACTTATTAATGTTTTACCATTTACAGGGAAATGAACAGGCTTTCCAGCAATGCAAGATTTATTCCCAAAAAGCAACATGGAAGGACTAAACACATTTTATAAAACATTGATGTCAGCAATAATTTTTCTATAAATCAGTATGTCCACTCATACATAAATTCATGTCTATACATCAGTCTGCTCCTCCATCCATGCATCCATCCGTCCCTCTGTGCATTGCTGTACATGTCAAAGACTGACCACTGTGGATAATGTAAAGTGAAATGTTTTCAAAGTTTGAGCCAGAACTGGACTGACAATGCTGGAGATTTGAATGTGGAAGAGTCTGAAACATTGAAACCTTGTGTAGGATAAAAACATTTTCTCTTCCATAACGCAGTGGACAGATTGTCAGCTCTTCACGCATCAGTGCTTTTGTCTGAAACATGAGAACTCCTGAACAGCTGAAGGCAGTTTTAGTAAAACATATGTTTCCTCACATGTGACATCTGGTGCTAACATATGCAATATTTAAATAAAAATATGTCATAAAAGTGGAGCAGTGTCTTACCAAGCTGTTAACCCTCCAAAAAAGCCAATAAGGTTAGATAAGTATTTACATATTTTTAGGATGTTTTCACCCCTGGGTGGTAAATCTGTTCAAGATTAAATCTGGTTCATTTCCCCACTTGGTGCGGCTCGGTTGAATAGAACCAAAAAGGACCAAATTGTGGGACGCAACACAATTTGAACCTTTCAATATTTTTAATCGAAAATTCTGAGTTTTTTTTCTCTAATTCTCACTAAAACAGATGAAAATAAAAAAGGGAATACGTTTGTTTTTCATTTAGTTCCATAATAATTACTCACAATAAGAGCTGCCTAATAATTCTATTAAGAAAGCCTAAACTTCACTTTTACTTTCTTAACTTAAATATTCATGTTTGAGGTTCATCAGCATCTTGGGCTAACTGAGAGTACTGCAGTTGATCAACAAAATAAAGATAATCCTGACTGTATTGGAGACATCCTGCCTGATTTAAGGCAACACCTTGTTTTGTTTTCCCTTCACTGAAGACATTAACTTTTCCATAAATAGCTACGTTTCCATTGACCATATAACTGGGTAAAGTCACATCTCTAAAATAACTTCACTTCATTTTGAAAAATCTTATTTTTTGCTAATTTTTGCCTCTGAGATTTTTTTTTTTTTTACCATATTGAGCCTACAATGTAAAAACTTTTTTCACATCTCACCAGTTAAACCACAAAGAAGACGACAGGAAGTAGTTTGAGGATTATAGTGTGGCGTGTTTTTTTTATTTTTTATGACTTATTGTGTAAACAAACATATTCACACGTGATTTTAATTTTGTTTCTCACTTAATGAAAATGCAAAGTTGTGTTTTCCGGCACCAGCAGAATGTTGACAAAGTTTTGCTCACGTTTGTGATGAAAACGTAAAAGGTGTCATCTTTAGGCCGATGAACAGCCTCTCTGCTGCAGTGTCATGGTTGTCAAGGAAACGCTTTTTGACTGTTGAAGACGTAAAACTTTAATAACTACCAATTTGCTAATCTGTTTTGATGAATGTTTTGGATCATTGTCCTAGTAGAGCACACGGTTTTGTCAGTGTTTCAACGCTGAGGTGAAATTCAGTTCAATTGAAAAGTACTTTATTGATCCCAAAGGGAAATTAAATGTTACTGTAACCCATTAATTCAAAGTCTTCAAAGACTAACTGTAGATGGTGATGGCTGTTGTAGAGGTCTGTACTACAGCCGATCTGAAGAAGCCTCTGACTGAAGACACTCTGTTTTGTTGAACAATTTGCATCTGTCCGCCGTTGGACTAGTTAAAGCAGACTAATGTTAAACTTCTGGAACGTACCGCACCTCAACCCTGTAGCAACTTAACTAACTTTGCATAAAAGTCGAATCAGTGCCAGGAAACCAGTCGATTCAAATGAGCTCCAACGTTTGTGATAGTCAAATATTCAGCCACAATTATGCCTTCAGCTTATTAATCTCTACAAAACCCATAAAGTCAAAGCTCAACAGTGTAAAGAACATTTATCCAAATATTAATGGTGGTGTATGCAAACAAAAAGGGACACATAAGACAGCCGACGTGTTTTTCTATATGTTTGGGCGTAAATTTCAACAATTCAAGTTACTCAAACAATTCAAAAACTAAAGATATTTTAAAATAATGCTTTTCTGGTGATAAAACAGTCCTACATTTGTTCCCACTGAAAGTGGCTACAATCACACACAGGCCATTGAACAGAGAGGAAACTCCATAATGGGATCCAAAGAGCTGTCTGGAGGCCTGCAGGAGGAACTGTGCAGCAGCTTAAGAGTCTGGTAAGAGATTTAAAGAGGTCTCAACAGAGTTTGAAAACACCGTGCTGAAAATGGTGAACAAGTTGAGAAAATTCAAAACTGGCTGTCCAGGCAAATTCCTCCCAAGAGCAAACGGTCTGTAAGACTCAGAAAACATTCCCCGTCATCTCCAAAACGTCGCAATGGGACCTGCAGCAGGATCTTCTATGAATAAAGACAAATCAGAAAGAGAATGGACAAGTTTAGCTGTCAGGAGAGATGTGCAAGTAGGAAGAAATATAAGAAAAATATAAAAGATAGACTGCAGTTTTCCACAGAGAGTGTAGTAAAGATCTGGCCTCCTGGAATAATGTTCTTTAGACAAACTAGTTTAAAGCTGAATGTTATGGAAGATGTGCAAAAAGGAAGCGTTTGATTTCTTAAAAACAAAAATAAAAATTGTAAGAATAGAACCTCATTCCAGATGTGAAGGATCGAGTATTTGCAAGCATACGTCTAACTATTAATCTGAGGTCATAAGAGGATTCTTAAAGAAAACCTGAAATAATCTAAAAAAAAGTTTGAAGCAGAATTCCGTCCCGCAATAAAATTATCCAAAACATATCGGTAAATTCACCAAAGACTGGCTGAAAACTAAGGAATGAAAGTCAGAATGGGTTTTCTATCAGTCGAGATCTAAGACTATTGATTATTTTTGGGGTTTAAATATCTGTAATACTGGCAGATTTCCTCTCATTCTCTCCCTTTTCTTTATGCCTCTTTTTAAAAATTACTTTTAAGTCCAAACCTTAAACTGCTGCGGTGCAAGTTACTCAACAGGCTGTCGCTAGGTGACCGAAGAATGAGGGAGTTGCTAGGTAACCAAAGCGTGAGCGAGTTGCTAGGTAACCAAAGCATCGGTCAGTTGATTCCACCAACTTGCTTAGCTAGCCGTGAGAGGTTGAGCAGCGAACATCTTTCCTCTGCCTACATCCACCATAATGCTGTGCAGTTCTGGATCAAGTTCAGTAAAATTATTGAACCTTATATCGGGCATATGTTCTGTTGATATTATGTATCTGTTGTAATATATATTGTTTTGATTTATTTCCCAGCTCTGACTGTGAGTTTAAACTTTTCACAGCAACTTTCCTTAGATTTCCGAGAATGCCATGGAAGCATCTCAGGAAAATTATTACGTTAGCACTAGCTGTTAGGTTGTAGGGTGTTCTAAATTGTTCTTACCTCAATATATTTTGTAAAACAGAACAAGGGTTATTTCTTTCCTTTTGATTTAAAGACTGAAAACTTGCAGGTGTTTTTTCACGAAGGCCTATTTTTCTGCACGTATTTATGTATAAATGTAGTCCTGCATGAATAAAAGACAATAAATTAAAACTTTTACACAAACGTTTTGATTTAAATTTGCCATGCTTATAATTCACAATCTTCCCACAGTAGCTAAACATCAAATTTTCAGGCCGTTTAACCTCTGAAAGACACAAATGTAACAACATAACACCACTTCATCTTAGCACGCTTATTATGCTAATCAGAAGTCTGGAAAGTGTTTTAAAAATTAGAGCATGTGCCGTTTTATTGCAATGATTACCATCGACCGAAAGCAGCGGAACAATTAGTAAATTGACCCGTCTTCTCAATAATTGCTGTGCGGTCGGTTGTTTATTATGGGGGCGAAATATGAGGGAGCCGTGTCTAAAATTGTTTCTCAGCTTCCAATGTGTCGGCTCCCGGTTTATTTTAGCTCGACGCCTGCTCTTCTCAGAGCCCCACGCATATTTCTTTTTTCTCGCCGCAAACACACAAACTCATCATTACTTCAATGAATCCCTGCAGATGGGAGCTTCTGCTGCTGCAGCTCCAGCGTCTCGGCACCTGGCTAACATCTGGAAGGAGCTTTTAGGACGTTTAAAAACACGTTTTTATCCATCTTCTGTCAGATGCAGCTATTGAGATAAGATACGAGATGAGCTTTGTATGTTCTGCTCCCAGATGATTCAAACTTTTTACGTCAGTTTTGGTTTAAAAGCCCTGCAGGGACACAGGCGTCCATGCCAGCGATGCATTCAGTGATTTTCTAATGATGATTCAGAACAAGGAAGATATTTAGACCCAAAGTTCGTCTTTGTTGAGTTATTTTAATCCACCAACACACTCCAAACTAGTGGTGGGCTATATGGACTCAAAGTTTTATCACAGTATTTTATAGTAATATCGTGATAACGATAAAAGTGACGATAAGAACTATTGGTTACTTCTTTAGGTGATTTTTGGTGACTGAACTTCACAGCAATCACAGCTGCTCTTGGAAAAAGACACAGCTCACATAAAAAAAGTTTGCATTTAATCATATTTTCACATTTATTGATGAAAACACAGTGGAAAAAATAGTAAAATTAATCCCAACAATAGGGACAGTTTTAGAAGATTGTAATCACTGCTAACTGAAATCTATCGTAGCAACGATAAGTCAGAAATTTATCACGATAAATGATAAACGATACGATAATTGTCCAACCCTACTCCAAACTTTTAAATAATCAGTTTTTCTGCTTTGTAAAGCTCCTGCTCTTACACAAACACACATGAACATTTCATCAGCTTTGTGGAGAACCAATCCCATACCTATATTTATCCGACTGTTAAAATGTAAATGTTTTACTTTGGTGAGCGTCTTTTAATGACAGCATGAGAAGAAAGAGAAATTAAAAGAAGCGCAAACATTAGAGAGCGTTGCCGCCCGCTCAGATGACGCTACAGAGCAACATGAACACAGCAGACTGCAGTTTTATTGGTAGTTGCTGGTTTCCAGCTTTGCACACCTTATCCCAGTGCCGTCGCCTAATTAAATCCAGAACGGATCAAAATATCAGGAGTCTGAACCTCGGAAACGGCTTTCAGAAACAACAGAATCCAATTTTAAGTCTTTTAATTTCTTTTTTTTTTTTAACAGAAATGTCCAAGATGGAGAATCACTGCCAGGTCAACAACAACTTTAAACATTTTTTTATTAGTTGGCAATGATTGAACCTCTTATTCTGACGATATTTGTTATAGTTTCAACTGAAACCGAATCTCTTCCACACCAGTAGATGACATGGCTCCTCAAATCGTCGATGACTGTGGAAAGTTTGACTTTTAAACAAAATGTAAGTGGCTCCTGTGCGCTTGACTGCAAAGCCTGTGGGATGTTAATCGTTGTCATCTGTACCAGTCCATCAGTGAAACTTTATGGTCCCCCAAGGGGAAACTTGCTACACAGTCAGCAGTTACACACAAAAAACTACAGCCTCCCCAACAACCATCATGCATGAACATGTGCAGCAGCGGAGGCCTCATTTTAGAGCTCTTCTACCTGGATGCTCTGCTTTTTCATGATTACGACATCATTTAACGACAGCCAGTTATCTTTCTGACAACCCATGTTGGAAATGTCGGCCTTAAGGTGTGACTAACTCCCAAATCAATGTTTCTTTGCTGATAAACTGTCTAAATATGCTTTTACATTTATGTTTCTGTACAAATGTTGGCATTTTCATGTACATTTGTTACTTCTGCAGTAAAAATACTCTTAAAAGTACTTTCCCCCCCCCAAAAAAAAGTTACTCAAGTAAATGTAATTAATTACAACTATTAGTAAAATTTAAAATCTGGTTAAAAGTGACCATCATTGCAAACTAAATGAACCACTTTTCAGTCACAATTTCACTCCTATTGGCTATTTTGGGAACTTGACTATGACAAAACAGTTTATACGAGCAGAGGCAACAAGAGAGAAAAAGACGGATGTTAAAACAATACTGTAATCATATAAGACATCATGACCCATATAGAGATGAAGGCTGCATTCAGATCTGTGAAAGAACCAGAGCTAGTTCATATCCTTGACTGGATTAACAGTTTTGGCCCTAATACTCCCATTCAATCAGATTGTTGTCCATCTGAAGTGAAGAAAAAATGGAAAGTTTCATTTTTTAAAACTTATTTCTGAAGTAAAGTCACTTTTCTGAGTCGCATTTCAAAGTAAATTGAATCGAATTGCTTTTTCTACCTTTAAAGTTTAGATGTGACCCTCTTTGTCCCCTGCTGGGGGTTTGGTTAATCCCCAGGAACACTCTGATCGAGAACAGACACGATACGGTTGGTGGATGTAAGACTCACCCAAAGAATCGATCCATCAAGTTTCTTCCTTATTTATTCTTATTTAACAAACAGTCCAAAGCAGATTTGGTCTGAATGTTCGGATCTCTCCCTTTGCCTTAGTTTGTACCTTTTATATAAAAACCTGTCCCTTAGGATTTAGCCGTAAAGTCTTAACAAGGAGTCAGTAAAACCTGCTGACTTCACTCGACACCAGTCGTGGGAAATTTATGGGAAAGCAGCAGTTTGCTGTAAGTGTTTAGCTGGTGGAGCGTGGGCGCTGCTGTGCCATCAGAGTGAATGGAAACCGTTATCACCGTTCCAGTTTACCCCGGGGCGCCCTGGCATGTGGCAGTAATGTGCCTGTCACTGCATCCATGGAGCGCGCTGACTGATGAGGAACTCCCTAACTGCTAAACACCAAACTGATTTCATCTGCAACTTTTCATATTCCCCTTTCTGTCACTCCTACACTTTGTCCTTTCCTTCCACTCCTCGCCTTTCTCTTTGTCCCGCTCCTTTTTTCCCTCCTCCTCCTCTGTGATCTAAACAAATTAGGAAGCAAATGAGGAGGGAGGAGTGATGTGGGTGATGAGGCATGCCAGAATGTCAACAGATGAGAAGGAGTGCTGATGAGGAGAGTAATGGATAGACAAGGAGCAATAATGTGATGAACAGAGAGAAGTATTCCCTAAAAAGCTTGACTTGAAAAGAAATGATTAATGAGCCCAGATGTTAAGCTTCTTTTTGGATGAATCATAGCATTCCCCATGACGAAGCAAAATTATGTCCCAGACGGAACATGGTGTAATCTAATTCTGCTTTCGGCTTCGACGACTTTTCCTTCAGAAAATCGACTACATTTTTCAGGGCTTTTGCTTCGTTTTATCCCGCTCCAGATCTCTGCGGCGAAACAGCAGTTCCATTAGACTGCATCTTTAAGGTGCTTTTAAAAGGTAGAAAAACTGAATCTGGCTGCTGTGTTTGGTCTCTAATTAGCTAACGAATGTTTTAAAGTGTCGAATCAACCAAAATCCTTCTAGAAAAAAGGCTCGTTTTGGGGACACGTGGAGGAGAACCGGCTGCTGTCGGGTCGCTGAGCTCCAGGAGGTTCTGCTCGCTGAGGTGTGGTTAAAACTTGTTTATGTGCAATTGGTCTGAAAAAACAGAAAAAAACCTTTATTTTAGCGTTGGTTAAAATTCGTCCAGCTGGGAAGGCAAGATTACAGACAGACATTGGCCCATTTTATAAGTGAAGTAATCTGCCAGTCCACAGTAAGGAATCATTTACTTAAACTCATATTTCTTGCTTTAAAGTTACTTGTAAGTTAGTTGTGTCTTATATTTGGACTAGAAACTAGACAAAAAATACTTGGTGATATTTTGTGTCTCTTCTTCCAGACTGATGCAGCTGTAACTCAAACGTCATTGCAGTTACAAAACGGTATCATTACATAATCGCTTGCTACGATTGTGCCTGTTATTTTATTCTACATCAAAGTATATCAAGACATTTTTTACCAAACCTCCAATTCTTCGCTTAAGAATCCATGCTGCCATGTTCCTCATTTCCAGCCTGATTCTTCTCTTCAGTTGGGTTTTCCTCTCGGCTCCTCTGAGGACGCGTCTCACTAATAACCTGCCTGTAAAATGGGTCAGGCGTAAAAACATCAGCTGAATCTGCTGCTAACTTCCTGTGTCGGAGAGCCGGTTTAAAATCCAGCAGCCCAA